GATAGTAACAGAGATTCTCGAAAGGCTTTGCTGCATATATCAATAACAACTGTTTGCCCAAGGATGGAAGCCATATGATTTTGGCACCACAGAACAATTTCGACTGCTTGGATTCGTTTGTTTATGTTTGGATTTAAAATCTATCGAAATGCAGTCATAAGGGTTCACTAACAATCACAGTAGTTTAAAAGGCTTCTCCGTATGGGTTCTCGGCGTTTTCGTTCGAGAGTAGTCTCAATCCGTTCCTTTGCAAGCATTGACTCACACCTCCCTCGCATGATCACTCTTATTTTTTCCTGTCTGATGACTAATGCCATTTCACAGCAACAGAAAAGAACGGTAACTATTTAACTAGTAAAATTTGGCACGATTTCGGGCCGTTCATCCGGAGACTAGGACTTCCTTTGAAATTTTTTATACTTAGGTGACTGTTGGAATTGCTGCTGTAGAGGATGTCTTACCGAGTTTCATGGCATTCTCACAAAGCGGTGGTGCCATCGGTCTGGCCCTTGATCGAATGCACGCTGAAGGCATAACCAACGGGTTCGACTTCAGGTGAGGATGCAGTTCTGGTCAATTCGACCCTACCTGTCTGATTATTGACTCTGAAGCTCATTAACCTTCTGAATTTTACAACATTTTTTACTATGGTTATATACTGATGGAAGTGTGACTAGCACTGTATTCGTGGCTTTACTTGCGCCACGCATCTAGAATCCATTCGAAATTCTAACCACAAGAAGTCATTTGAAGGCACAGTACTCAAAATTTTCATGGTACCACTAGAATTCTAGTTGGCGGTAGGTCTGGTACGTTCTTAGAACTAGTTGTCTTCGAGGGCTGTACGAATTTACGGGAAGGAAAAACTGTCTGAATGAGATTTCATGTATCAAGAGCGATTGCGTCGAGAGTTTGCTATAGTATCATAGCAGTCGGAAATTGCCTTCCTCTATCGCCATCGGTCAGAGCTTCGCAAGATCAGCTGAAAATGAATACTCCTTTGGAAATGGGTGCAGTCTCAACAAGGCCGTTGAAATAATTTAGCTTTTAGGTGTTCACTTTGACGCTTTAGCCTTCACGCGATCCCCGTTGGAGCCGGTTTCAAGCCTTTCTTGCAACCAATCTGAATCGCTATTCGATCCAACAACATCCCATGTGGTTGACATAATTCGAAGCTACAGATTCGTTTTGTGGGAAATCTCGGAGACCATGCCCTAGTTGAACCGACCATGACTCTGTAGCTCTCTTATAACTGTGTACATATCCTACCCTCCGAAGAGCGTTATGAAAGGATTGAGTAGTTGTGGGGACCGCTTGCACGGAACTATCTAATAACATGAATTTTCAAAACGCTGACTCACCATGCAAAGGCTACCTGATGTGATGAAAATTGGATTAGACACGGTCAACGGAAGAAGACCTTGATGGTTTCGTATGATCCTCGTCGCTTCAAAGATCTACTTTACAACAGGCAGTAATGCAAAGCAGTATTATTGCTAGATTGTGTCTTCGGTACTGTTGAGCCACTACTGTTTCCGAGGCAACATCAGAGAATTTTTACCTTCCTGCGTATAGCGTTCAAATATTTTAGCAGATGTTTGATTGAATGAGCGACATCCTCAGTTATCACAAGGAGAAGTTTACGAAATGCTATACAAAATAAAAACCGTAGCTGACCATGGGGTTTAAGGAAGCAGAAGGAGAGGAAAACAGGTGTGCAAAATGCTGTGGGAATGCTGTCGCCAAAATTAAACTAACGTATGCTTTGGCCTGCTATCCCTTCCTTGCCCAACCAATCTGGGTATAGCACTTGTGAGACATCATTGTTCAACACATCTGTTCCCAGAGCTACTTTGGGCAACAGGATCGAAGGCTCATGTCCAAAAAGTTCTGATATACAATTCGAGCAGGAAAATGATCACTCAACTCGGAATTGTTGGGTCACCATCTGAACTTAGAAAATCGAATTTTCACAGACCCCACGAAACCACAGAAACCCGCTGATATTCTGAAAAGAGTGACCTTAATTTAAACATTTCAATACGTGTTTTTGATCGGTGATTCAGCCGAAAATCAAGGTTTTCTTTGTCTTATGAGAAATTTAATTATTTTGATAATGTGTTCAGGTTTATTGTAAACTACACCGAATGCAGCTCCGAGAAAGCTGTTGGAGTAGCCTTGGAGTATATGGTGAAGCAAAATGTCGACCTCGTCATTGGGCCTCCTTGCCCGTCTTGTTAGTTTATCTTCTTTCTTGGACAAAACTTCATTCCACAGAGAGCTAGTAATGGGGCAACAGCAGAAAGGGGGTTAACCTTGAGCAAGAGTCCGAACAAAGAAGTAGCAAAAAGCATGCGGTCTGAATACTCCACCGTGCTGAGTCTTCTTTTCCTTTCCGTGAATGTTGAGACGATGCCTGCTACGATGCGGCCTAGACGGAATACCAGCGACTACTGCTCCATTTAACACTACGTGAGTGAAAACTGTAAATTTTGAGCGAGCTATAAGGGAAAACTGGGAAGTTAGAATAATCAATTATGGCATTCGGTCGGTGCATGTGCATATATGATTGCGACAACAGTCTATAATTATTTGCTTTTACCCACCTCAGACGTACAATACGTCTGACCAATGCAATGAATTGTGGTGGCTTGCAGATGCGTAAGTCAATGCTTTTATCCTCCCAGATGAGTTTGCTACCAGTTAGCAGTGTGTGTTCGCCCGGCATTCGATCCCTAACCAAGCGTGTGTAAGAGTGCGCGACATGCCGCGTCTCCACTTCCCCTCCCCTTCCCTCCGGTATTGGTACCTTCACCTAATTCGTTAGGGTCAGCTGATAATCCGGGCAAGAGCAAGAGTTTGAGGGAAATAAAAGAAAGCACATGAGATTCAAGTACTTAATCCTGCTCAATCTACCCTTCCTCATCGTCAATGTCGAAGCGATGGCCACTACGATGCGGCCTGGCTAAGATACCAGCGATTATTGCTCAATTTAACACTACATAAATCAAAACTGTGAATATTTAGCAAGCTATCGGGGAAACTGGAAGATTAGCCACCAGTTGCGGGCATATCCGGTCGGTGTATATGCGAATGCGATTGCGACGACTGCTGGATGTCACAGAAACCAACTCGAATAGCTGCGCTACGGCTGTCTATGTGCCAAATACGACCCCTAATGAGCTAAGCCATTCCAGTTATATAGATCAAAGCCTCAGCCGAAATAGTCGCATCTATGGGAACACTAGATCCGGCCATTTTGGCTGAGGCTGTTGGCTAAACGCTGTTCACAGGCAAAAGGCTAAATATTAGGTTGATGCATAATCATTGCGGATTTTTTTCAGCAAATTTTAGTTGAAGAAACGATAGAAATATCTAGCAAATACATGTTCAAATAATTGCTCCGGAACATATCCACCATCTACGTCAAGCACTGCTTCCCATTTGCTAGGTGGTCGGATTCCACAGGCGAAGAAGTTTCGATTCTTGGAAGCGATCACGCCTTGACGTTGGCCATCAAGCCATCCACTTCGTCGAAAGTTCTGTTTGTTAGTCAATTTTTCAACGGGCCGTCAACGTGATAATCCTTAGAAATTTCTGTTGGTGAATAAGGAGTACGTAAAAGCAAATTCCATTCTTCATTCGGCTTTGGCTGACTGTTCCATCGCCGAGGAGTTCGTCGAGATCACGTTATGAGGGGACCGCCTTCCAACAATTCTCGAAGTAAAAGAGCATAATTTGGCGTATATGAAGATGGCTTTCTAGACATATTTCTGTTAAGGAAAGCGAGAAGATTACTTCTACAAAAATTCCGAATTCAAAAGTTCAATTTTACCGAGAGAAAAGAAATCGCGAAAAAATCCGCAATAATTATGCATTTACCTAATTTAAATTTTGGCAACAATTAATCACCTTTTATGACGCGCGCCCGCATTCCGCTTCCATTCAGAATCGTAGTGGCGTCTGAATGTGTATTTGCATATGATGCATAAGTAAGTCCTCCAGGATGAGTGTAGTACCATTTAGTGGACCCTGAAGGGGCGGAAGATTTGGGTGGCCTAGTGTTGAGCCGGGATTCG